TTGCAACTATCCTTAATTTGCCATACCTCTCAACGGTAGTAATATGGAATGAATATCCTCTCAGATGAACACAGTAAATCTGAAGAAAGACATATGATTGCTGACCTGCCTTTGATCACTCTCCTGAAGTTCTCCTGTTTTAAAGAAAATAGGATTTTCTGCAAACCTGCTGCAGAGTTGAATTGTAAAGTCAGATCACATTGTACCCCTGTACCACTGTGAAATTACAGAAGAGGTGAGGCTTGAAGTCAGTGAAGAAAGAATACTGAATGCACTCAGATAAATATGCAGGGCTCTTAAGTTATATGTGTAACAGAGAAGAAATGTATAAGACCAGCAACTTTTAGTTGAAGCTTCAATATTGCTCACAATAGTCTAGTAACATTATGTTTCTTTTCTTTCTTTCTTCAATGAAATATTTGAAACCAAGTTAGTAAAAGAGCAGATGTAGTGAAGAAAGATGAATAAACTCTCTTTCCATTCTTAGGTTGAATGAATTGTTAAAATATAGTTCAATCTTTTTGTTTTCTATACGGAGTATAAAAGGAACAAAATAGTAAGATAAGAAGAAAAGGAAACTGCTCGATTAAAATATTACTGGAAAAAAAAAAAAAGTCTTATGTACCAGGTAGCTACAGTTTAGCTAAGAGAGATAAATCATCAATACAATCCTGAAAGTATTTCTTTGTGGGTTTTTTTCAGAGCAACCTTGAATATTCAGGTTACATGTCTAGTAGGCCAAGAATATCTACTATTATTAAGTTTGCTTGTAATTTCTCAGTGCTGGATCTTGTGTTCAGGTGCATAAGCTATATACAACTTTGCCAAATATAAAATCTTTTGGCTGTTATGGATCATACCAACTTTCTGCAACAGATTACTTTTCAAAAGAAAATTTTAGCCAAAATGGTTTACTTATTCCTGAGTCTCTGAAATTTGGCATGAAGTTTTATATCAGGGGCTTGCTTTCTGCTATTCCTGTGAAATCTGCTCGTTTGCTCATTGAAAAATTTACTTGGAAAATTTATATTACATAAAGATATCATTTTCACTGAGCATGTGCTAGCATGTTTATTTAATAATCTTATTATTTTTCTACTATCAAAATTAGGCTGACTTGTCTGTAAGTCTCTCTATCTCTCCTTGATCCTCTTTTTAAAAAAAAAACAAAAAAGCCTCCCCAAAATTGTTATGTTTTCTTCTCTAATCTTACCTATCTAGCTGAACTTCTCAAACATAACTTTCACTGGCTTCTCTATACTGCAAAAACTAACATTTAAATATATTTCAATCATCTTCCTTCCATATTGTAGTTTGTGTTTATAACCTCTTGACCTTATTTGCAATGTGGGATGTAATTTCATTTTTTTGACAACTGAAGCAAACAAAAAAGCATGTAACCTATCCTTCTTATTTGCTATTTGCTCAGTTTCCACAGTGAACAATGAATTATTATGTGCCTTTATGCCTTCAGCTCTATCCTACTACAATTCAGAGACTTTTTTTTTTTTCTTCCCGTTTCATGTCTTTTTTTCAGTTGTAATTGTTAGGAAAAGATAAAAGCAAGTATCTGCTTGCGAATGAACTTCTTATGTGTAAGAAGTGCATGTGTAGTCAACATGCTCCATCTGGCTGAAGAGCACACAAGTTTAAGAGCCCCTCACCAAAGGGACATGAAAAGGCATGTCCAGCTCAAAGAATTCCAAAAAGCTGATCCAAGGAAAAGTTGACCACAGCCCATATAAAATGCACATTACTGCCACAGTCCAGGAATACTTCATAATCAACCACTCTCCTCTCCCTTTCAAAATAGTTGCAGATCTACTCCTTCATACAGATCCATTTATATGCTATGTTGCAATTTCAGAATTTCTAAGTCTCTCTCCTAAAAAAATAAGTCTGATTTTCTACAGAAATGAAGTGATGAAATCACATATGGGTGCATGTGTGCAATTTTAGCCCTATTTGTTGAAGAGGTGGACACCTCAAAATAGCTGTATTTCTAGAAGTGTGGCACCAGTTGTTGGCAGGGATTGGGAGGTCCTGTTATCACCCTGCAGAGAAGTGAAGGCAGGGAGACTGTTGACCTTTCCTGCCTTGACCAGAATCTGGGGCAGGAGTCCCTTGGCCACTCATTCTACGTGGGTTATCTAACCAAGTAATACACACATACCTACAAACCAGCTACAACAGCCTTTTCCCCATTGTCGGGCTAGATAAAAATATGCTGGGACTTGGCAGTAATATGAATGCATAGCAATGACTTCTGGGGGATTTCAAGGAGTCGAAGTTGAGTTATTACTGAAAGCATTAAAGTCAGGGCAGTACTGAAGTGGGAAACTATGAGGAGAAGTTGTACAGAATATGAAGGATACAAAGGAGAAACAGCTGTCAAGAATCTAGGCCTCATTAGCCCCTTCAAATAGAAAACTTTTAAAATGGAAAAAATGTATTGTTCTTCATCTAAAACCAAAGTGCATAGGAAGAAGCACTTGGATTAAAATTTATAGGAGAAACAACATCATCTCTAGCTAGTAACCAAGATGCAAAAATAGAATTCCCAAATATGATTTTTTTTGCCCAAGAATTTATAGGCACATAAAATTAGATATAATCTGGAAAATTCTTTTGCACCCTTAACTACTGTTTACTGCAAAATGAACGTAAGTCATCAGTATCAAGCTTTATTTCATATCTAGTGGCTCATTTACTCAGGAAAAATGAAACTTCTATTATTTGATGACATTTTCTGTTTCTCATTGGCTGCATTTCACTGTACAGCACCATCTGGCTCTATAAAAACGCTTTCAGTACAATAAACTGATGCAGATACTGTACTATATATACTATGGATATTAATTAGTGTTGGTTATTTCCTGACTAGTCGGTAATCCTGAAGTCTAAGAAATAACACTATTTAGGTGGAGAGCATATACTTGAATATATATACCACTTATCTGAAGTAGAGAGGTGGCACAGCAGCATCCCAGTCCCATTTAATGTGAAATCCTAGTGGGTACACTGCACTCTGCAGGGGAGGTGGTAGAAGGTATAATCACTGAAATCCTGATAAATCCTCAGGTACTTTGTATCAACCTTTCCTCTGGCCTTTATGTCTTCTAACAGTTACAACACATGTACATTTAGGTACATACACACTTATAATTCTTTATAAACCAATCACAATAATTTCAAAGGACCTCACAAATATTAATGAAAACGTTTAACAATTACAAGGTATTTTCATTACAGCTATGCAAAAGAATAGTTTTTAATGTTTTAAAAAATCCACCTTCTGGACAAAATTTACTGTAAAATTTTCATTAAGATTAACCTTTATCACTATTGTATAGATAATGAATTTTTCATTAAAATGTTAAAATTTATAATTTTTCTATCTAAAGAGTAAAATATAGGTAAAACAAATTAAAAATAATTGAAGTGAGCACAGTAATAAAAATAAAATAAAATTTTAAAAAATCAGACTATTTACCACTACAGAAAGATGAATGATCCAGTATTATTAAAGCAATGGAATTCCATTGCAAGCAATGGAATGGAAGCCCTTGGTCAATCACACACATGGATTACTTAATGATTTAATACACAGATTCAGAGATTCAGATTACGGTTTTTGCACCAGTATAATCTTCCTGTCTGACCTGGAACAAATTATAGGAGCTCTCATGAGATGATCATGTATAAAATGATGACAGTAGTCCTTTTCTGTCTGCCAGGAATACTGTGAGAAATAAAGCAGAAATGACCTGCTACTATAGTCAAGTTATTATTCTACCATATTTTTTGTAACAGATATTACAATATCTCTTACAGTACAGCCAACAGACAACTCAGGTTAAGTCTGCTGATGAAAGACTGAATAATTTACTAATATAGATGTACAAAGAAAGATATATTACATTTATTGTAACTTTATGATAAACAAGGAAGGTTGGAGATTTTCTGCTTACAACTTTTTTTAGAATACAACTAGAAGGATAGGTAGTATTTAACCTTTGTGTATGGTTACTACAGAAAAATATCATTTATAAGAGACTTTGACCTGTACAGCAGTATTTGAGAATTTTCATGGATCTTCAGATATTTTCTGTTGTTTTCATTGGCTTTCGTCTATCAAGTCCCAGTTGAACCTCACTCTTACCTTCCCCTTCTCTGTTCATATCACATCAAAGTTCTCCTCATTGTTCTTAAAATTGGATGATTGAAAAATTATCTTTATTTATTCATCAAGCTTGTTATCACAGGGCAGAATCAGTCCAGATTAAGGCATTACAGACAAACCTCCACATGATGATTTAAATTACAGTCCTGAATTAGAAACTGCTGAAGTTCTGTTGGGAATCTGAATTCTAAGTTTCACAATTTTATTTGATGATTGCTAGAGGAAAAAAAGAGAGACATCAGTAATATCTCATCTATAGTACTGACTGGATGTCTCCACAACTTAATTCCAGATCCAGCAAGACACCAAATACTCTTAATTCAACCAATAGGTTTCAGGAATTGCTTGGCCTCTTGCAAGAATATTGCCTTTTTTAAGCTAATAAATGTTACACAATCTTTTATTTTATTGGTAAACTTTAAGTAGATATTTGCTTAAAATTTAAAGTCTACTATATAGCAGCTTAAAAATATATTTAGCATTTAAATAGTTTAATTTTTCCTTTATCCTTTTTAAAAGTATTTTTTAGATATTATATACTATAGGTTGACTATACAACTTCACAAAAATGATCTTTCTGAAACAGTATAACACCATCATAACACAGCTCAGTAACAGGCTTGTACAAATAGTGTAATAATTCTATAGATACTACATCACTTCCATTTATTGTAGAGTTTCTAGTGAATAGGAAAAAAAAAAAAAACTGTTATGTGGAGTTCACCATATGCATGTGCAGTAGTAAATGGAATTTTTGATACCTTGATAGTAATTCCATTTAATTTTTTCCTAAGATGAGAAGGAAGATGTTGCTTACCTTTGTCTCAATTTGCTTGGTGTCTAGATTCTGAAAAAGCAGCTTTACTCTAGTTTTCCCATCATCTGAAGAGCCTTTGAGCTGAGAGAATTTAAACCTCCACAGCACGTTCTGAAAAGGAAGAAATTTGATTAAGGACTCGGTTACACACTCTTACCTAGAACTACAGATTGATGATCAAGCATTAGGGCAAAGCAAAGGATGCAATATTCAAATTCACTTATTAAACAATTTCTTAGAAATTCTCTGAAATATAAATGTTTCAGTTGCCTACATAGTATCAAAATCCATGGCAAAAGTTTAATTCTAGAAAGATCCGTGAGAATATTTGTATCAGTTTCAGTATGAATACAATTTCATACCATATCTCGATCTTTTATATTTCATCTGGCTCATCTGTATAATGAAGAAAATGTCTTACACAGATGTTTCAGAGCTGAATTTACTGATGTGTGCAATGTGGTTTGAAATTCTCAGAAAAATAAGCTATAGAAATTAAAAAATGTTATATTATTGAATGTCGTCCTGCAAACAACAAAAATATGTACTACATTATGTAGTTACTTGTAAAACATATAAGAATTCTAGGCTGCTTGGTCTCCTGCAGGTTTATACATGACATCTTACCACTGTTAGCAAATCCTAGATTGACTGGTATGTTTTAAAAGTTATGGAGATATCTTTTAAAAACAAATATTGTGAAATTATTTCTGAAACCAATGTAATTTTCTGTATTTATCTGAATGCTTGCTATTGGCCTGAAAATATGCATGTTTTAAAAAAAACACAAGGTAATAACTTGCATCTGGATTTCCTGCTTATGTTTCCTTAATGCCTAGAATCTTAATGAAAATTCTATGCACATGTTGAAATGTGATTCAGTCCCTGGACACTGCTAAGGAAACATAATTTAAATACTTTGAAGGCTATTTCAAAAGCAGACACAGAAAAAAGTTTTGTTCCATTTTCCAATATACCTCATCACAAAATATTTTTTTCATGTAGACCAGTGGTCTTCAGAACCCTAGTTTGAAAGGGCAAGTCCTATAAATAAAAAAGTCCCCAAAAACCTGATTCCACCTCCTGATTCCCTGCAGACATAAACATCACTGCCTTCTTAGATAAATTTAACAGATGAAGAAAAGCCCAACTACGTTAGAGCACTGTGATGGTGCTTAAACTTTACATTCATGAACAGATTTTACCTGGTTCCAGAGAGTCTAATTAGACCACCTTGAAAGTATTCAAAGCTTAAATTAATTTAGATCTAAACATGATAGGTGAATGTTTGCTATATAGTATAATTGCCAGGGTGGAGATGAAACAAGAACTCAGGAACAGTTTAGCAATAACAGGCATTGCCGCAGTCATCATCTCTCTCAACAGAAGACACTGAGAGGAAAAGAAAAGAAGCAGATGGCTCTGTAAGGTGGAAGAAAATGAACACTTTGGGATCCCTTTATCTTGGATGAGTGGCTGGAGACACAATATAGGGAAGATGAACCAACCAAGCCAACTAGTTAAAAACAATCTCTACAACCAGATATAAAGCAGCTGCAGGCCACAAAAGTATGTCTGTGATGGGCCCAAAATTGTAGAAGTTGAGTAAGTTAAGCCCATGATGACCCTGGAACAGAACATGTATGAAATGAAGCAATTTTTTCAAATAAGTTTAAGAATCTTGCAAAACTGTTCATGAGAAGAGCTTTCTAAAAGACAATTACACACCTAAGCAAAAGTTCTTGATCTCTTTGTCATTTGTAATAAGACGGTCCTCTTTATATTATTTTACAGACTGTAATAAAGAACATTTTTTTAATGACTACATGAGCTGGTTGCCCAAAGTTTGAGTTGAAGGGCAGATAGGGGACTGATCTTTTTAGAAGCCTGTATGAACACCTGCAGTGGTGTAAGACCATTCTTTACATCAACAGGTGACTTTAATTTGAAATTCATTATCTTGAAGAAAAAAATAAGTTTCACCAGTCAACTCCATCTGACAATTAGGGGAAGTAAGATGAACTGTAGAAGCCACCATTACTGACTTACTCAGGCTTGAGGATGCAAAGTACATTGCCATCTCTCACACAGATGAACAATAAATGTCTTGAGCTCTCCAGAATTTTTACAGTTTAACAACAGAATCAATCTATCTGACATTATTCTGTATTTCTCCTTAGGTAAGCAACAAAGGTTGATCTAAATTGTCATCATCAATACTGAAGGCAGGCACTGTGACTCCTTCCTCTCTATACGTATTATCGTGGTTCTACTGAATGCAGTAAGAACAGGATTTTAATTATGGCTCATTTTCTGATCTTGTAAAAAGCAGTATCAATAGAGAAGTTTATAATTTTAAAGGTGGGAGTACACCCTACCAATCTTCACATTTAAAAGAAACATTTTATACAGTCTAAACTAATGAGATTACTTTCTATAGTTAATTTGTGGCTACACACAAAATGTGTACAATTATGCAAAAAGCACAATTTCAGAATGCACTATCACCTGAGGCAGAGAAAGGCATGCAAACATATTTCCTGAAATTTTATGGCACTTCATAGGACAGCACACTTAATGCAATTATTCTATATTTTCAAATAACAATGATCTTGGTCATTACTTCTCTCCACAAAGATTTTGGCCCAAAACCCCCAAAATACCAACACACAAAAACTAGATCCTCTGTCAATATTTCAAAATGCAGTATGTTTCCTCTTAACTCAGAATGACTGACTGAATTTCTTTAATATATATTAAAAAAAAATCCTTTCAGTTTGGAGTTGAAGACCATATTTCAGAGGACAGACCTACTGTATAGTTCTGTTAAGGCAGAAATATTTTTTGTATGTATGTTTACTTCTGGCAAAAAAATGTATAAATCCATTTACAATAATTTAAATTAAAGTATTACTTTATATATAAAACAGTAGAATTATAGACACAGTTTGAAAGTTGGCATGTATCATAAACTATCCTGTGTAGGCATTTTATATATAGCCACTCCATTTTGCAAAGTAAGTGAATTTAATCTTATAGATTACGACTTTGAAATGTATTTGTCCTTGTTCTGTTTCTTTTAGATGTGGCCAAAATGTCTTATGATGGAAGAATACTTAATCCTATTTTATATCCATAGCTTTGAAACAAATAGAATCAGGTGACACAAGTTTTTAATGACTGGCAATCTTCTAAAAATCTTGACATTTTTTCATTACTAAGAAACCAAGTTCTCTGCTAAATGTAACCTTCATTTGCATTTATTACTTGAAAAGGAAATTACATTTTTTTATATCTGTCCTGGGTTTGGTTAATATAGAGTTAATTGTTCTCAGGGAACTGCCAGAGGGGCGCCGGGGCAGCTGGTCTGGGTTGCCAGGGCATGTCAATATCTTACATCTTTAAATCTAAAAAATTTATCTTTACATGCTAAGGCACAAGTATAATTGTCCCTTTCCTCAAACTGACTATATTTTAGTAGTGCTGTATAAATAAGCACAGTATGTTTGAGAAAGAAATGACAGGAACCAACATAAAAAAATTACCATTACTGATCAACATAAAAAAATACGGTTAATGATAACATCAGTAATAGCAAATCAAACCAGAATTATGTTTTCTTTTCTTTCTCCTCTTACCTTTGTTTTACTATCAAAACAGGTAAATCCCAGAGCAAAGTCGACTGTGAAACACAGGGTATCTCCTTGCCAACTGCACATATATGTTTTAGACTGGAAAAAAAAAGGTATGATTTTTGAGAGAACAATCATCATCATAATTTATAATATAAAAGTAATATTTTATGCAATTTTTTGTGTGAGAAGAAACTCAGCTGGCAACACTGATACTGCTTTATATTATTACATTTTAAACTTGTCAAAAACTTCTGAATGTAGGTCGGTATCAGATCTGTCAGCTAGACATTAACTGGAGGTCTTCTATATTTCAAGTCACTCTTCCAGAAAATAAATACCATATTCTTGGAAACCATCCCTTACAAAATGGAACACAGAACAAAGCCAAATCTTACTATTTCACAGACCTGATTTTTTAATAACTTCTGACATAATTTCCAGCAAATGTTATAGGTAACAGTGCCTAAATGTTTAGTGATTGCAATCTAAATATGAAAAGGCTATTTGTCTACTTGACTTCTCCATCTGATTTAAACTTTTTAGACAGTCTTTTTATTTTGCAACATTTTTTCATTGGTAAACTTGGGTGACATGCCAGTGCAGCACTATGTTAGTTAATGTTAGCTGGTGTAATTTAGTATGAGCTAATAACATTTACTCATTAGTTAGCACTGATACTTGCTAGAATGCTATATGTACACAAATTCTTTGATTATCTTTTAGGTTAGAAAGAAAAATTCTGTTTTATTAACAAAACCCAGAAGTTCTATTTAAACTTCTGAATAAGGTTTGCAGCAAAAAGTCAATTAACATGCTTCCTTACTTTTTTTTTTAAGCTAGCTAACTTGGATATATGACAGATTTTGAAGGCACATGAAAAAGCTTCTGCTGCTGATGAAATATGAAACAGCTTGATCACACTCATAATTCACATTAAATGGCAAAAAAGTCCATTGCCTTTAGCATGAGTAGAGACCAGATCCTGTCTCCAGCCTTTCCTCATCTCACCTTACTAGCCATTTTAAAAATGATGTTCTTGTGCTTTAAGAAATCTTTTATTTTCTTTTTTTCTTTCAAGGGAGCATTACTTTTCTCTCATTGATATTTCATAAATCACAATGTTGCCTCACACCTAAACATTTGTTTACATGAAATTTTTGTATCTGGTTAGTTTCTTTAAATTCCAAAAAATGGGTTTAACACAAGAATGGCCTAAAGGAGACTGAAAGCATTAATAAATTTACTTAAGTTGAAAATTTTCCTTGTAATTGTTTTTTAAAGATTTGTAGTACAAACTAAAACTTCTGTATTTAGTAATTTTAAAGGCTTCCTCATTCCACTATTTAAAAAAAAAAAACCCAAACATTTACACTAAAATAACTATTTCTGAGTTACAGGTATGACATTATATAAAGGATTTTGAAAGGGCTAGGAATTAAATTAATTTATTAGCACAGATTAGTACTAATTAGCTCAACAATGTCAGAAATGTATATTATTTCTGAATAAATTATTTTGCTCATTGGTGTTCAGCGATCACATTATTTGGCATTTAAAAAGACTTCAGTGATTGATATTCAATTAGAAGAACATTTAAATATCCCTACATTTTATTCAGTAATTATGAGGTGGCATTAGGTTCAGTCATAACTTATTCTCCATTATTTTCCAGTTAAAAAGGTTACACTAGTGAGCTCTGACTCAGCAAAGCAATTTTTAAAACATATTAAGTTAGATTCCTCCAATGGATAAGCATCTAATTGCTCAGCCACAAACGGTGAATTCTAAAATGAACTATTCACAAATAATTAGCCTGGGGTATTTTACAAATATTCCATATTTGAAAATAATGGAATTGGTTTGGAAATTATTTGCTGGCAAACACTAGAGACAAACAGAATATGCTGCATTTGCACTGTGATAAATATTATAAATACTTGTTTATACTTACAAAACACTAATAGCTTTTTCTTTACAACAGAATTAGTTTGGGTTTTGCTGTATGAATTTAAAAGCCTGCCTATTGCATTTGCTCAATGACTTTGAACAGGTTCTCAGAGAGCTCTGTTGTAAGGACCCCATCTCCGCTCATTAACACTGGCACAGAGCACTATCTCTTTTTGTTCTTGCCTTTGGAATAAACTTCCTGTACACTTGCAATTGTGTGATCTCCCTTGGTTATCTATGACAATTTTTTACACGGAAATTTAACATAAGAAATCTAGGCTTAGCTTTCTTTTAGTGAATTTTGCAGAAAATAAAATAGCACTGGATATTAACATCTTGAGAACTCACAGGTTAAGCAACAGAGAGGAAAAGAATAGGTTATTTTAAAAGTCTTCCTTACTGATTGGAAATTAGATTTCCCCAGGACTTAGGTCTAATACTAGCTTATGACAAAACTCTTAGGGATTGTAAGTAGAGGCAGATAAGAATCTACAAGGTTATCAACCTTAAGATATGTATTAAAATATTTTCCCATTGTACAGCTATACCCTAATAGCCACATTAATTTACGTATTTCATACACATATGAAAATTCAAAACATTAGCAAATGTGGTAAGTGACCATTTTAGGCTTGCACTGCTCCTAACAAGAAGTAAAAGTTTTTCCAGTTCTAAACTCTCATGCTTATCTTCCATCAGTTTTTACAACAGGAAGAGGACAAAGGACAGGTTGCTTCAGTACTCATAAAGACCGATGTAGGATTCTGTCTGACAATGAGAGGAGACTCTACAAATATGCTCAATGACAGGCCAATTAATTTCAAAGCTGGCTTTTATCATCATCAGTTATG